GGAACAACATCAAGTCATTCTACCCCAATGAGTCTCACACTAGGAACGGCATCATTAGCCATTCTACCCCAGTGCGCACCAACACTTGTACTGCATTAGGAACAACATCAAGTCATTCTACCCCAATGCATCCAAGCACTCATATCTCATTAGGAACGACATCAAGTCATTCTACCCCAATGAGCTTCTCACTAGGAACGATATCACATCATTCTACCCCAGTGAGTTCCACACTAGGAATGACATCATTAGCCATTCTACCCTAGTGCACCAACACTTGTACTGCATTAGGAACAACATCAAGTCATTCTACCCCAATGCATCCAAGCACTCATATCTCATTAGGAACGACATCGAGTCATTCTACCCCAATGAGCTTCTCACTAGGAACGATATCACATCATTCTACCCCAGTGAGTTCCACACTAGGAATGACATCATTAGCCATTCTACCCTAGTGCGCCAACACTTGTACTGCATTAGGAACAACATCAAGTCATTCTACCCCAAAATGCATCCAAGCACTCATATCTCATTAGGAACGACATCGAGTCATTCTACCCCAATGAGCTTCTCACTAGGAACGATATCACATCATTCTACCCCAGTGAGTTCCACACTAGGAATGACATCATTAGCCATTCTACCCTAGTGCACCAATACTTACGCCTCATTAGGAACAACATGAAGTCATTCTACACTAATGATCTCGCCACTAGGAATGATATCTCATCATTCTACCCTAATACGTACCTCACCGACCTCACATCTATCACATAATGCACACATATTCGCAATATGTTCCCATGCATTCACAGTATCGCGCCAATGGCAACGAATTCAATCATATTCCTCATGCATTTAATCAATTCAAATAATGCAACATAATTGCCAAACGGCCACAATTCATAATTCATCTCACCATCTAGGATTCACGCCATACGGCTACCCATAACACATCACAACAACATGACTATTCAATTCCAACAAGGATTAAAAACAACCGAACCACATAATCAACATTGGATAGAACCACAAGAAAAACAAAATGATGTCACGTTCGCTACTGGCTCGCCTAGCGAGTACCTAGCGAACACTCGCTACCTATTTGCCTAGCGAATAAACTAGCGAAGACAAACAGAAGCCACTGGAAGGCTTCGCTACTAGTTCGCCACAGTGAGGCCCTAGCGAGCAACTCACTACCTTGCTCGCTACCAGCGAGGAGGTCCAAATCCATTCTGTCCCAAGTCTGGGACCGTTCGCCACAGGCTCGCTAGGCGAGGACCTAGCGAACGTTCGCGACTTGCTCGCCTAGCGAACAAGCTAGCGAGTGTCTGCGAACACCAAACTCCAAACTGTCTAGTATTCATATGGAGCTCCCGATTCACCCGATTCCAACCAAACTCGTCCCAGTAGACTTAGCCTAATATATCTCGACTAATCTACATCATCCCTTCCAGATTCTAACCGATAAAACTCAGTTTCTATCGATTAAACTTATTTCGACCTAAAATGGAAAAATAGAGAAAACATCCAAACAACTCATACAATCCATACACAATCATATATATTAACAAGATGATGATATTTCACACCCTTACCTTGATGAAATCGATAGCCAAGAGTTGTTCTTGATGAATCCAAGCTTTTCCTCTTTTCTTCTCTTTTTCCCCTCTTCCACTTTCTTTCTCTTCTTTCCTCTTATGCTTTCTATTTTTTCTCTTCTTTCCACTTCCTCATATATATATCTTTCTCTTTATTTCTTTCCAATATTTTTTCCTCTCTCAAAACATCTATCAATCCATTTAAACAATCATCTAATTATTCAAATAATTAAAATAATCCAAATAAATCAATTAATTAACACAAATAATTAATTATTGAAAATTGGGCTGTTACAATATTGACCATTCCTTCATGTGAACATTGGGATATTGATGTTGGAATATGTTTCCTAGAATACCCCTCAACGGATCTATTCTTTAAAGCTCTATAAATTAAAGATCAAGAAGCTTGAAGAATTGTTGATTTGCTGCTAATGGATAACGAGTTGCTGATGATAGCACGCTACTATGCAAAGCCAAAATGCTGAATAAAATGCTACAAGTTTAAGCTTAAATAAAGAATGCTCAATGAAGAAGAATCTGAAGCAAATAATTGAAGTGCGTACAACGATGCAACATGTTGAAGCCATGTGAAATTAATCAATTGAAACATCAATAAGTGAAACATAGTTGTCATACCCTAAATTTTGACCACAAGACTTCACATCATTGTGTAGATTATCACCATAATATGAATTTATTTTCATACCTCACCAATCTTTTCAAAAATTGTTGAGAATTCACCTTAACCAAGGATTAGGGTTTTGATCCCTCTCAGAGCATTCAGGCAAGAGATCAATCAAGAATTTACATGATCTTCAACTTGTCAAGCCTCTCAAACATCCATGAAGGATCAAGAGATCCCCCTATCAAGAATTTAACATAAGATTGCATCATTCCAAGTTAATTAAGCCTTAAGACCATCAGTGTCACCAAATTAGGGTTTTGATCGACCAAGGCTTCCAAAGAGAAATTTTTATCTGGGCATGAGCCAATACTTAAATACATGATTCAAAAAGCTCAAAAGAACCTTATGAGTCCATTCATAAGTTCAAAATAGCCTTAGGGGTTCACATCTATCAAAAATCAAGAATTAGGGTTTTGACCTAATTCAACCCCTAGGTTGACTTTTGAAGTAAGGCATGATCCAAGACCTCAATATATGTTTCATGGACCTCAAATACATCATATTGATCCATTCACAAAATTGGATTGATTCAAAGAACTTAATTCATAAGCAATACAAGGATTCAAATTCATCTGGACCACAAACTAGAGTTCCTGAGGGAAAGTCAACCATATATTTGACTTTTGACCAAAACATGATCTCAAACCTTGGGAAATGAGTCAAGATATTCAAAAACATCCTTAGAGGTCATTCTTGATGTGCAAATAGGCCAAGGGTTTGATTTCATAAGAAAATCATAAAGTTTTAAATTCATCTGATATAAAAAGTCAAATGTGCCCAAAATCAAGTTTGACTTTTGAAGTTTTTGGTCAACCATGGTTTTTTCAAGTTAAGAATGATGTTGATATGTGATTTGGATCATGATCAATCAAGAAAAAACAATAAAAGTGAGGTTACTTGCAAAAGGGGTAACCTTGAGAAGCTTAAAATTTCACTAAGTTATGGGAGGAACTTGATTTTTACCCAACTTTGCAAGAGCATAACTTGTGATCCAAGCAACCATTTTCTCCCATCCAAAACTCAAATGATAGATCTTCTTATTTACAAATAGATTGCAAAACACAAGTATCCCAAAAAAATGCCTAGATTTTGAGATATGAAGCATTAAAGTTAGGGTTTCATGAGGTTTAAAACTTTGACACTTAGAAATTTTTAGGCAGAATCTGCCTCATGTTTTGCCAAACTTTGGAGGCATTTTTCATTATGATCCAAGATGAATTGAGACCCAATATAAACAACAAAGTTGAAGTATGATATGCAAGCTTTTCAAAGAGTACAAGAACATCCATTGATTCAACTTGAGCAAGAAGTTATGAACCTTTCAAAATGACATTTTTCATTCTGATTTTCCAAGACAGATTGTGCATACCACTCAATTTTTTCATTTTGATGACTATACAAGCCTTGTCACCATACAAGACAAGTATCAAAGATGCAATGCACCTGTCATTTGTAGAGAAATTGCACCGTAGTACCTTATAAGTCAAGAACCTCATCCTTTAGGCATGTGGAAATCAATGTTGCAAATCCAAAATCCAATTTTGTCATATGGCTTTGAAAGAATGCATTGAGGCGACATGAATCAGTTCATATCAGTCCAAATGAGTCAAGACTTATCCAAGAATCAGAAGACTAAAGACCTGCAAGTTCAGTTCAAGTCAATGGCTAGAGGAGACTTTGAACACCTAGTCATATTCGTTGGACAATAGGGTGATGAAACATGTCCATATCTTTTGACAATCATGATAGAGTTAGTGATTAAAATGAAAGAAGAATTTGAAATGATGTGTGAATTGTAGCAAATGGTAGGAAGCAGATCTATTTATACTAAAATATTTATGCTCACACACTGTCTTCAATTCAATTGACGCCACTTTAATACATTTGTATACTAGTGTCAATTGAATTGACAATACCATATAGTGTCTTCAATTCAAATGACGTCTCCAATTAAAGTTATAAAGTTGTCGCCAATTAAATTGACAATAACACTTAATTATTTTTTGAAACTGGGGCATTTTAAAACGTGGGTTATTTGAGGAATTAATTTGAGGAATTTATATGGTTGTAATTTATCAACCATATAAATTACAATAATTTAATCAACCATGTCTTAGAAGAATGATGTAACACTTTTAATTAAGGGTTCATAAATTTAATTATGGTATCTTAAAATTTTGTAGTTACTTACTACCTATCAATTTATTGAAACAAATTAAGTTTGTATAACACATGACTCCAAACTGCAAATCTAGGGTTTTATATATCCTTAATCTTATGTATATAAAAAATATTGTAAATTAAAACAACCTGGTAGATTGTAGGATGACTAGGAGATAATTGAAGGTTTTAATATTTGATTTGGATGATACATTTTCTTGTTTACAATCTTCTATATTATAATAAATAATTTGTACCAACCTTTTAGTTTCTATATAAATACTCAAACGTTTAATATAGCAAATCATTCACCAAAAACACATATGTTGAACATTTCCAATGCAGTAATTGGGTGAACAATAGATTTAAAAACTAAATCCAACCACTAAAAGTGATAAAATGAATGAAAAAATAATACTAACATGTTTGAAAGTAAAAGAACAAAATGATCTTTTGTTCGGTTATTACATGAAAATAATCAAATTTCACTCTCAAACCGATCATCATATAATACATGATATTTCTCTAACATCTATTATGAAATTTTCTTATGAAGGAGGGAAGAAACGGTTGAGATTGAAGGGAAGGGAGTAAAACTCTTCATTCCTACTGTCTGCTTTAAATGTTCTAAACTTCGCCCACCATGGCATTCCTCTATCTTTCGCACTGTCCTTATAGTCAAGAGTGTTGTCCAAGAATACCGCAATTATTAATGCAACCGTTGGCGAAGAATAGAAGATTGTATTCAGAAAGTCATTGAACTGCAAAACCAAAGTGAAAAAAAAAAAACACATGTTTTCATCGATTATGTTTTATTAAATGTATGTTAAGAAAAATATTCATCTTAGGAGAAAACTCACCCATCCAGCTTTGGTATGAGCAGGACCATGAAGGGCTCTGATAGTGAATTCTCTGAAATATTCAGGAATAGACAGGCCTAAGAAAAGAGATACACCGACGATAAATAGGTTCCTCATTGAATTCATGTTGGTGAATTGCAAAAACGATAGGCCGACAGAAGCTGAAAAGCAAGAAAATATAACAATTGTTACGAGACCATAGCGCGCGGAAGGCTTATTAATGCTCGAGTAAAATCAAAGGTTTAGTTGTGCTTACCAACAAGACCAAACAAAACGCAGTATATAGCAGCAAAAATAGGGAATGGTATTGATGCAAATAAAGCTCCGAATTTACCTGAAACAAATAAGCAAATTATGTTGAGATTGGAATTAACTTACACATTCACATAATCCTATGGTTTCGCCACTCACCTAACATTGAGAAGAATATCATAAAGCCAGCAGAAACTTGAATGACTCTTCTACTTCCGATACGGTTGCTTCCTAGAAGTCCTACATTCTCTCTGTCATGATACTAAGAGAATCAATATCTATCACATAAAAATGAAAACTAGGAATTATAATAAGTAGAATAGCACATACACAGAAACCGTTGAACCAGTCAGTGTTCCGAAAAGACCGTTCAACAAGATTCCAATTCCCTGCCAACCAATACCGCGGCTCAGGACATGAGCAGGAGGTGGTGTGGCACTCGCTAGACGCGATGCTGCCTTGAATGCTCCAGTTGACTGTCAAAACATCAAAGATAATGAGCGTTTGTTTAGAAATTAAACGGCAGAGCAGCAATGTTTACGCATTCGAAAATACCTCGATTAATGAGACTAAAACAGCCGCCATCATTCCAAAAGAATGCCCAGCATCAAATGTAGGAGCACCCCACTCAAGAGGGTATGGAATTTTTATCCTGCAACAACAAGCTCATGAGTTCAACATCTTCTTTGCTACATTGATACATATAATAACATAAACATATTCAAAATTCAAGACGCTATTGGTACCAACCAAGGAGCAGAAGAAATGAGATTAGCCCTATCCGTCCTGCAGTTATGTTGCGTTAAATCCGGTCGGTGTTTGTATGCTCCACTCGCTGTCAATAGATGTGCGTATGCCCATATCACCGTGGTCGATATGAGCAGCGCAAATCGCTCTATTATCGGTACATGTCTTGTCTGAAAGTTTTTCAAGTACTAGAAACAACATATCATAATACATTAACATCATTGTCTCAAATCTATGCAGGTGTAACAAATTGAACAAAATATAGGTATGACAATTAAAGGACATTTTCTTGCTAATACAATATTTGATTTGTACCTGGGAGAAGATTATAAACAAGATTAGCATAGGAATTCCAATTTCAACACAAGTCCCCACCTGAGAAAGGACAGAACAACAATATATGAGACAAAAAAATTTATATTTAGATATTCTGAATACTATATAGTACTAGTCACGTGGTTTCAGTGTTTTACTATACCACAGGAAAGCCTCTGTCAAATAATCCAAAACCAACTAATGTAATTACTGGAACCATTCCAAGTGGGCTGAAGAATCTGCATTAATTGAAAAAGGACATAAATAATTTCATATTTGATTATAATAGTCTTCACTGTTTGACTTTAAAAGAAAGGCTTTTTTTTACCTAGAACAAATAGCCCAAATTTGACTAAACCCCAAAATAATCTGTATACTTGATGCTACAATTAATGCTCCTTGAACTGCTCTCATTGTGCTAAGAAATCTCTAAAATTCAAACATGTTGATAATAGTTAGGATGAATATCAGAATTTGCAAAACTCAAACATGATTAGAGAAATGTACTAACCAATTGTGGGTCCTCTATCATTGATAAAGAAGGGTCACGAATAATGGATACAATGGGGACCATGAATGCATATGATCCACCAATAACTGTTGGTAATCTTGTTCCAAACAGTGTTTGCACAAGTGTATTAATTCCTTCAACAAAAAGTAAAGTTTGTACCACCCTTACTTTATCATCCTGCAACAATAGTCCAATAATACAACTTATCAATATCAATGATTCAACCCTCTCTCTATCATGTGACAAATTCCAAATCACAAGACAAATAAAATCCAAAAACAAAGTCCCTAACCAAACCAATTCAATTAAACCGCCGCTAACGCGAAGTCATCTGTTTGGTTCGATTTTTAAAACATTAACCAAAAGATGTTAAAAGGAAGAATGACTTACATCATTTCCACCCATGGATGGCACAAGAAAAGAAGGAATCATAACTGCAGTTCCTAAAGCCAGAATATAATGCTGAAAACCAAGAACTATTGTCTCCACTGTAAACAATTCAAAAACACAGACACAAAGTAAGCAACAAAACACCAACATTAATAAAGTTGAGGAACAAAAAAGGATCAATCTAAGCATGCAAACTTACCCCAAGATGGATTTGAATCTATACAATACTCTAAGCCTTGAAGTTGATCCATTGGTGAATGACTTATCTCCTCAGGCTTTATATCAGCCATAATCACTTCCAACTTTATAACTTAATTTTTGTTTCACCTTCCAAATCTTACTTAGCTTGAAGAAACAATGTGCTTAGAGATATTTATAGGGTGAGAAGAAAAACACGGAGCAAGAAAATTGCACTTTGTTTCTAACAGTTTTGGTTTCTTGAACTGTGTTGTTAGAAATTTTGTGACTCTTTCTCTTTTTATGTGTGCTTTTGAGTTAGAAATAATATAATATTATATAATATTAAAATTATAAAGTTATAATATTAATGTATAGTAGTAATACTATATGAAAGGTTCCGTTAACTTTTGAATATTCCAATAGTGCCCCTTAAGGAAGTGCCAAAAAAACTGAAACTCAAATGTTACCGTTGCTTCGGTTTCTTGAGATGGAATGGAACTGAGTTGTAAAGTGGAATATTGATGTAAGATTACTAAAGATATACTTGTTGAATATTTATTTGGCTTTACAATAAGGGTGAAATTAAAATAACTATTATTGTATGATCTAAGATATTGAGGGCCCCAAAATGGTTTTCTTACTTCAAAATATTTCATCTATTTCTACTTTTTAATTATAGATTATTTTAAACAGAAAAAAAACTATATATTCTTAAATATAAATAGCAATATATATATATATATATATATATATATATATATATATATGGAGCATATCAAATGAGAGATGAGAGTAACAAACAACAACCATTAGATCAAATTAATAAAAGAGATGAAATTCAAGTTAATAAGAGAGAGAAATTAATAGTCACATTAATAAATAAGTTTAATCATGATCTAATGGTTGTTGTTTGTTCCTCTCATCTCTCATTTTAAAATCCCTCTCACTTGATATGCCATATATATATATATATATATATATATATATATATATATATATATATATATATATATATATATATATATATATATATATATATATATATATATATATATATATATATATATATATATATATATATATATATATCAAAAGAGATTGTTGGTCGGCCACGCGTCTGAGTTGTCTGACTGTTGGGAGAATGGAGGGAGGTGTAACTGAAACACACTCTGACGTCAAAGTAAGAGTCGGACCAAGTGATAACAAGTACAAAGAGAGAAGTAAGAATGAGATTATCTGACCCTCTAGTGAAATAGGGTATTTACAGTGTGCCCCCAGCGCAGGGCCAATGGTTACTACGCATTGGACTGGGTTGCCAGGCCAATGTTGGTAACTGCTAGGGCTGACATGGCGTCGTGAAGACCAAGACGTGGTCCTCGTCCTAGTGTAACTGCTTCGTGCTATCCGGGAGGTGGAGGATCGAATAATCAGAGTACGGGTAGTTACTTGATGACGTGTCTTCACGTAGGGGACACGTTGAGAACGTGAGGGAAGTCAGAGGAGCTCCCCGAGCTGGATGGGTTATGCCCGATAGCGGGGCAGAAGAGAGAGTGCGCCTTGCAGATGTGAGGAGTCTGCTCGACTGCCATGGATTCGTGCCCGACGGGAGAAGATGTTCTGACCGATAGGGGAAAGGTCTCTGCCCGACGATGAGGCGACTTAGGTCTTATTGGGCCTTCCAACCTGATGGGGTTTGGGCCTGATCGACTATGGGCCAAGTGTCAGCCCAGTCCAAAATAGTAGCCCCCCAAGTCGTTGCTTGCGTTCAAACGAGCTATGACTTAAGGTGCAGAAGTGTCGAGCATATCATTTCGTCGGCCAGTCCGGAGCTGTACTAGTTGGGCAAGCCTATGATGTACGGGGAGGCCCGCAGACGAGGAGGGGAAGGCTAAGGGTCACCACGTTATTATCCAGATTAGAGAACCTTTGAGAAACATGGATCCATTCAGAAGTACTAAGCTTCATAGTGAAGACATCTTCGAAATGAATTTGGAACATAGTTTTAATTTCTTCTCCATCTTTAATCCAATTATTACCTTTGTATTTAATCATACTAATAGCATTCCTTCTACGATGTTGCGCAACTCTAGTATGATAGAAATTGGTTTTTCTATCACCATTCACCATCCAATTGACCTTCTTCCGTTGATACCAACTAAGCTCCTCTTGATACAAAATATTAGAGAGATCGATTTGAATTTTCTTTTCAAGCTTTCTAAGCACATCATGGTCCCTGCCACTCTAAATATATCTTTGAATACCTTGGAGCCGACTAATAAGATGAATTTTGTGTCTCCGAACACTCCTAATGTTGTGGAGGTTCCACTTTATGGCTGTAGACTTGAAGGACTTCAGGTTACGTAGTAGAGGGCAGTTGGATGTCCCATGAAGTCTTTAACATTTCCTCAAATGTATCATCACCCAACCAAGCACATTCAAATTTGAAAGATGTGGAAATCTTTCTAAGCTCTTCGTCTATGAGGGTGAGTAACACAAGATGATGATCAGAGAAATCCATCCTATGTAGGACCTTCACATGAGCTTCGGGATAAAGATTTCTCCATTTAGAATTGCAGAAAACACGATCTAATTTTTCATAAAATCTCATGCCACTATGAGTTATAGGACCTCTCCAAGTGTAAGAATAACCAAAGCTCCCTATGTCAATAAGATCACATTTGTTAATGCGATGTTAAAATAAGGTGCATCTTTGCAAGGACGCCGGAAGACCGCCTCTTTTCTCACTCATATGAAGGATATCATTTAAATATCCTCCAACAATCCAACTATTTGACATTGTATTCGCAATATCTGCAACTCATTCCAAATATCTCTTTTTCTTTCTTCCAAAGGGCTGGCATAAATGGTAGGAAGATGCCAGAGTTTACCTTCCTGAATGATAATTCTACAATGGAGATATTGGAAGTGGCACTTTAAAATTTAAACTTGCATTTTATCAACTTTTCACCCCATGGCTATGCCACCAATAAAGCCTCTAGAATCATAGAAAGCGAAACCAGTAAACCCCATACGAGAGAAGGCTCGATTAAGGTTACCTGGGTCAGAATAAGTTTCCATGACAACAAAGATGTCTGATCATTTTTCTTGGATGTAGGAATTACAAACACGAAAAAAATCCTTGTTGCTAGCTCTACGACAGTTCCAGAACATACAAGATAGAGGTTGAATAATCATAAAACAAAAAAGAGGAGGGAGCCCTTATATGTTACTCTGCATTTATGCCACCATTTCCTCATCAATCTTTTCCATGGAATCAATCTTCTCAGGACTGGAATATGTAATAAGTAAACTACTTGCAGGATTGGGAGATACAATAGTAGGAGAGGAAAGGGTTTCTTGGTGTTCTTCATCTTTAGCACCTTGAGCCCTTATTACTCTTGGACCAAGTTGCTCCAAGTTGGATTTTTTACCATGAAAGTTCTCATTATGGTGATGACCAATAACAACTTAGGAAGTATTCACTTTAACCACTATGAGCATCTCTTCCACTATCTCTTCCTCCAAAAGTCAATCAATATTTTCCTTGGTTTTGTCATGAGTTTGCTCTTTGTCCTTAGACTTATTTATGTCTTGAGAAGCTACCACCAGGTGCTTTTCAAAGTTTTTCTCTTTTTTATTTTTCCTTGCCATGTTTCTCCTATGAACTAGATTGTTGTTTCCTTCTGGGTTCTTAGATGATTTAAAATGATCCTTATACTAAGCTGGGCTACTTCTTAATGCAGTGCCTTCCTCATCATTCCTTATAACCACAATATTAACATGTTGAGATTTTTCAGGAGCCCCATTGAGGTTAACAGGAGCATAATTAAGGTTATCCTTAAGAAGATCTTGGAATATAGATCCTCTCTTATTAGGTAAATCCTTGTTTCTTTTTTTCAATTATATCATCCTTAGTGCTCTCTTGTTTACCTCTTCTTCCTCATTTGGCCTTTTGAACAATAGTCCACGAGCCTTTTAGAGCCCCTTGATCTCCATCTTGCACCTCAATGTTATTGCTTCCATTAGGGGCTACCTTGTGACCACCATCTTTATTGACTCTTGTCACCTTTTGAGATTCACAAACTCCAGTTATATGCCTATACTTTCCACAATTAAGGCAAAGCATATGCAAACCTTCATATTTTACTTTGAAATGTATGCCCTTAATAAAAAAACATATCCAACAGAGGTTTGGTGAGGTCAACTTGTATACAGAAGCTCACATATTTCCCCATATCTCTTGATAAAGTATTCTTGTCAACTTTGATGTTTTTCCTATCATGTTGCCAATGAAACTAAGCACATGTTGATCATAATAGTCAATAGGGAGAACCAAAATTCTCACCCACACTGTAAGTTGATCCACTGTATCTCTATAAGGCCAAAAATGAGGGCTCAACTCACGCACCATGAGGTAATGGTCATAAATCAGCCAAGGGCCTTCAAAAAGAGCAAGCACTTGATCTTCCTGACTGGTGAAGGTGACAAGGTAGAATTCTTGACCAAGGTCAATGATGTTGAGTACTCATCTTTTTTCCCACATAAGTTGTAGATGGTTTTCCAATGGCCTATATCCAATGTTTCTCCCAAGCATCTTAATGATGACCCCTTTTCCCCAAATTTTAGTAATCCTTTGTTCTTCCAATTCAGAAAGAATAAACTCGGGGAATTCATAACCACCGATCCTGTTTTTCTCAAGTTTGATTTCATGAGATCCCTCTTCAAAATCTTGCATGTCGCACTCCTCTTCCTTATACGATCCCAATTTCCTAGAGGACTCCCCTGTCACAATATTCTTGTAAGAGATCGTCTCAGCCTGCGTTATCTTAACTGAAGACACTTATATTCAATAGAAGGTAAGATTAAATCTTCTGTAGCCCTAACTTTATTAGAATTGCAAATCAATAGATCCTCATCTTGCATGCTCGAGTTTGCGAGAGTAAACCCTAAAGATGGATACTCATGAGCCCATTGTAACACCCCAACTCTAACACTTGCGGATAACAGGAAAACAAAACAACTCATATAACAAACAGAGCGCAACAGCATAAAAATTACACGCATGACGATCGTAATGAAGGTGTGACGGTCGTCACACGTCCCGAATTCT